TGTAAAAAGAACATTGTTCCCAGAACTGTACAAGTTTTAATGAATCTAATTTATTTATTTTAATTATTCTGGTGCTTATTTAAGATTCAGCAGAACCAAAACAGATGAGCTGGTTTAGTTTTGTGGTTCAGAACAAACTGGACTTTCAGGCTTTAATTATGATCCAGGTTTAAAAATCTGATTTAACACTTTATAAAGAAAAACATTATATTCTTTATAATTATTAATATACATTAGGTTTAACTAAAAGCGTGACGCTTGTGTTATAATGAGTAAATTATATTTAAATCTTGATGTGGTCACATTTTAAAACAGGTGCTCAGTTTTCTGGATTACAGAAATGAGCGCAACATTTTTTATTTTTATTTAATTTGATCTTTTGAGTCACACCAGGGACTGACCAGACCTTCATCTACTCAGTCAAGTCCATCTGCTCAAAACGGCAACAATTCAACACAACTGACAGAAACCACACTCTGGATTTATTCTGGTTTTCAACCCACAACCGAACGAGACGGGCGGTGGCACATCACATCAAATTTGTTTTCTTTAAAATACGTTAAAAACATGTAAAATATTAATGTGCCGAATTCATTAACTGCTCCGTACGGTTGGCAGAACATACGAATTATGATCGGTTGTGTCTTTATGACAGTTGGTTGTAAAGAAAGTCTTAATTTAACCGATTATCCAACGCAGTTTTGCGTCCTGTCATTAGGTTAAAGAGAAAACGTCATATTTTCAGGAGCCGTTCACATTAAGAACTATGATAAACTGAGTTAAAACTAAGATGTCTGATAACCACTGAGGTCCAACTCCGTGTTCAGATCAATTAAACGGCCACATTAAAAGAACAATTTGATGAAGGATCGAGCTTTAACTGCAGCCACTAGGGAACGTTTACAGTTAGCCACGTTAGCTTTAGGCCCCACACAGTGAGAGCTGCTACTTCCTATGGTCATAAAATCCCTCAAAACAGAGCGAAATACTGGGAGATAAGTTCAACACTCACGCCTTCTCGGCTCCACTATCCCTCCTGCGGAGAAAATAGAAAAGGGCCGACGTTTAGAGGCAACTATATGGAGTAAAACTAGTTATTTTCCAGCAACGTGTTTCACTCCCGTAAGCCGGCTGCTGTAAAGATGGCGGGAGGCACGCACACTGCACGTGACCTGACGCGGTGACGTCATAACTGTTCTGGTTTACGGCAACAAAAGGGGGAAACTGAGTTTAAATCTGCACAGTTTGGGTCTAAACTTTCTCATGAATTAACACGGTATGCTGGAGGCTTCAGCTAACATTTACCGTGAGTTTTTATTTTATTCTATTTTTGTTAATCCTAAATTAAGTTTGAGAGGCTTTAAGGAACTTAATATTATGGAAAACTTTAGGCGCTAGCAGCTAGCTCCATCGTAGCTAACAGGTTTGTTTGCCACCTTTAAACAGCTGTTTACGAAAATAAAACTCTAATTGCAGTCTCACTGTCATGCCGAATGTACCACAAGGTCCTTACAAGTCTTGATTAATGTTTAAATCGGTAATGTTTACGATTTAATTTGCTTTATTTAAGAATGAGTTTTAAAACGCCTAGAATTTAAGTGAAGTCTGTGTTCTTGCGGCATTTCGAACTAAATGCGGCCGAATATCTGGTGCAGCGTGCTCGTCCTACGTTTTATTTGTTTTTCATAATTGCAGGATGGCCACCCCAAGCAAGACACCACCTGGTGCCGACCCGAAACAGCTGGAGAGAACCGGGACAGTTCGGGAGATCGGCTCCCAGGCGGTGTGGTCCCTGTCCTCCTGTAAACCAGGTAGTGAAGAGGAGCGACCTTTTACTACATAAGATGAGTTATTGTCTGACATCAGCCTTCTGCCCGTGCAGGTTTTGGAGTGGATCAGCTGAGGGATGACAATCTGGAGACCTACTGGCAGTCTGATGGATCCCAGCCTCACCTGGTCAACATTCAGTTCAGGTAACGCTTCAGGAGCCTCCTAAGACCTCATGTAAATGTAGTTTTTTGGATGTGAGGCGCTCGGCTAGTTTGACTTCTGCTGCTCTGAACCGGAGCTGGAGCGACCCGCGGGTCCCGTGTTTGTGTTGCGGTACAGATGTTGATGGCCTGTTTCTCTGACGTGTGCAGGAGGAGGACGACGGTGAAGATGCTGTGTATCTACGCTGATTATAAATCGGACGAGAGCTACACCCCGAGTAAGATCTCTGTCAGGGTGGGCAACAACTTCCACAACCTGCAGGAAGTCAGGGTAACTCCTTTAAGCTCCTCTTGTGATCGAGCTGTGTCAGCACGCCTGTGACTCTCGTCTTCTGTCGCCCCGCAGCAGCTGGAGATGGTGGAGCCCAGCGGCTGGATCCACATCTCGCTCCTCAATCAGGTACAACACAGTTTAGGGTCGAGGAGGTCACCAAATGAAATGTCACTTGTAGGAAAATAATTTGACCAGGTCGGCTCAACGTGCGCAGGTTTTAACACTTTTACATTCTGTACATTTTTACAAGCTAACTCCGGCAGACTTTTAATATTTTAGCTTCTCATTTATCAAAACGTTCGGCTCGTTCAGGAAACTTTAAAAGCTGCTTCTCTGTTTCTGTTTTAGCTTTTAAACAACTTCTTAATGTTCATCTAACCTTTGGATATTTTTTGTCTTCCAGCTAATTTTAGATACTTTTACCTTGCCTTTTGCTGCAGTTAGCTTTTAGCTAACGCTTTGTTGTTTTTCAACCTTTCTACAGTACATTGTCAGTTTTTGTCAAATATTTTGATACTTTTAGCTTCTAGCTATCTTCACACGTGTTTAGCTTCTAGCTATCTTCACA